TCCAGCGCCGGCCTCCATTGGAGTTCCTCAAGGCTCCATATTGGGACCACTACTGTTTCTGATGTATGTCAACGACCTTCTAAATGTTCTTGCAAGTCCATGTCTACTTTTTGCAGATGACCTAAAATCCTGGAGTTCAAATGCCAGTATTGTGCAAATAGCTGTAGACGCTGCAAAGCAGTGATCGTTTGACCGCCACCTTCCTCTGAATGAAGAAAAGTACGTCCATTTGTCACCCAGAAAAAAAATCGCCCAGCTGTAACACCCTTCCGGTGCCTAGCTGCCATGCCACCCGAAGGAAACACGAGGGCCGAGATACTGCCAGGTTGCCCAAGCCTAGACAGGGAAAGTCGAGAGACAGGTCGGGTTCGAACTACGGACCTTCCGGTCAGTGAATACGCGCCCTAACCACTTGAGCCATCTCAGAACAGACTCAGCGAACGTCAGGGCGTGGTGAGAATGGACCAGAAGACATCATGAAGATAGATGCCAAAAAGGATTTGGGTATCTGGCTCCCTTCAAACACGTCCTTCTCACTGCACCATGGGAAATCGGCTCAAAAGGCATTCACAGTTCTACGGATGATTCGTCCCACTTTCTCCCATGTTGCTTGCATGGACTTCTAAATACTCTATGGGGCCCACATCAGACCGCTTCTTGAATATGCCAACCAAATTGTCTATTCAGAACGCAACAAGGACGCAACCCTCATTGAGCGTGTCCAGCAAGCTGCTACGAAATTGTTGCCGGCCTTAAATCTGTGGAGTATAAAACGCGTCTCGTGGTGCTTAACCTCTTTTCCTTCGAGTATCGTCGCCTCCGAGGAGACCTACATCCTACTTATGCCATGTTTGAGCAGCAGACGCACGAAGGGAACATAATAAGAAGTTCTTTAAGCTCAGAGCATACACTTTCACCAGGCAAAATATTTTCTCATTTCAGGTATTCGCTGCTTGGAACAAGCTTCCTCCGACGGCTGTCCACGCTCCATCTAGAACCCAGTTCAAATCAATATTAGATACTTTTTATGCGAATCCTCGAGCTAGCATGCTTACTGCCCTGAGCTAAGAAGTTAAAGATCACCGCTACCTTTTTCGCTTGTGCCTTTCATGTGACCGACAGCCGCTGAACGACAAGTTCAAAACCGACCTGAGAAACTTGGGCTAAAGCCTCGATCTTGTGTGTCAATCCGTGAATCTGTGAATTCTCGCGTTGAGTTGAACACTCCGAAAAACAACTCGTGAATGCAATGCTGACACCAGCCCGCCGTCAAAAGAAATATAGCACACGTGGATACCTCATGTTAGATATCAATCCTTCAATGCAACAGGGCAATTGGCTCAAATGGTCTGGACCCCGCACTCCAGAAATGGTTGTGCGACCCTGGTGAACAGTCTGGCAACCAGCTTTCGTAAGATTTGGAAGAAATAACGGAATACTACTGGAGTGGAGATTCTCGGCTCTCATCCCACTCTTCAAAAGGTGCGCAGGTACGCCATCAACGTCGTCAATGTCATCAACGCGGTATCCATGCTCATCCAAGATGCTACTTGGCATTGGTTTGCGCAGCTTGGTCGATATTCCGGAGAGACAGATTCGTAAGAATCCAGCTGGGCTTCGCCCCAGCTGAACATGCATGGGGACAACATCTCTACCTAGAGACAAGTTATTGAGCAGTGCTGGTCTTTCAAACACCCCGCGTTGGTTGATGTTTCTTGTTCGCGGCTGCTTTTGATTCTGTCGATCGTCATGAAATTTGGTGGTGTCTTGCGATCAAGGGTCTCTTCCAAAGTTATATNTATATATATATATATATTAGCGCATTGAAGGCGAACTCCTGTGGATGCGTATGCATATGCCGTAAGCATTCGCCTGAGTTCACGACGTCCAGTGGTCTAGGGCAAAGCTTCCCTCCCTTGCCCATCCACTTCAACTTCGTTATTGATATGCTGCGCGTAATTCCTCTGGCTTTCCCTGGAACCGATGGGGTAAAAATGCTTCCGGGACGTTCGCTAAGAGACACTGGTTACGCGGACGATATTCTCCTCGGTTCAAAAATGTAAACCATTTCGAATAACCTAAATAATTCAAGATGATGGCATAACCAGCTAGTTAGGGATCATCATCGACAGTATAACATCAATTTTCAACACTGAGACTTCGCTTCCATACAACCATGATTCACTTGAAAGCCTTATTGTGAAGGTAATAAAGGTGTACAAGGAAGCTAGCTTCCTACAATCATTTCGAGAGGCCTACACCTCCAGACACATTCAGTTAATCTGAATAGAAACAAATAACAAGAACGCCACTGACATCGATTGGCAGCCGCATCTCACAGCGTCTCCAAAAAGGTTCAGGAAATCTGGCGGTCTCCATCCTGGAAGGCAAGTAGCATCGTTGGCACCCAAACTTTTCGTAATCCTTTTCATACCTCTGCCAGGTCAAGGGCTGATCATCTCTCTGCTTCCGCCACTCTGAATTGGGTACGGAAAAAAACACTCTAGTAAATGATGTTTCGGTGTACGCAATACGTGGCCTAAACAACACGGCTTCTTGTGCTGGATGCATTCTCCAATAGAAGTCCCCGTTGCACAACCGAAAACTCGCTTCCAGACTGTCCCGTTATGGATTCTCCGACACTAGTTCACACGAGTTATGGTCCTGAGGCGACGATTGTCGAACACCCGAAGCCGTCAGTTTCGCTGCCGAAACAGGCCATCTCATAGCCATACAACAAAACAGTCCGCACTTTGGTCTGTCACACACGTCCCTTGAAATTCAGGGATACACCACTTTGATGCCATAAGTATCTCAAATTGGTAAACACGACCCGAGACCTGCAGATTCGTGCACTGATCTCACCTGTCACGTTACAGTCAGAATTAATCATCATCGATGGCGTAGCGTCAGTGTTCAACACCGATGCTTCACTGACCAGGTCTGTGGTTCGAACCCGATCTCTGCGTTCCAACCGTTCTTGTCTAGCCTCGGGCCACCTGACATTATCTCAGCCCTTGTGCATTTTCCAGCTCCATGGTAGCTATGCATCGAAAGCGTGTGGGCGCTTATTATTTCTTATGAGGTTACGAACATCAAAATCAGTCAGGTAAACGGGACTTTGATGTTTGAAGATTGGCTGCGATGTCTCAGGTTCCGGGAATAAGGCCGATACAAGACGGATGGTGTTGTCAGTTCTTACCGATGGTGTGAGGGGTCTGTCTGGGGGATAGCCACTCTAAATAACGGAAAATTATTTCGATCAGACGGAAGACACGAACCTGATAGAGAGCAGATAAAGAAGAGAGAAAAGTATACGAGTGAGAAAGATGTAAGACTGTGTAATTATTGTGGTGCCCACCACTGCCTTCGTAGCAGTTTTGTAGTGCTTACTTGAAGTACTAGGTCATTCAGTACAGAACAAAATGTAAATCAACACTTATCGGTTTTGCAAAACCAATATGCTGCATGATATAGCTTCGTTCTGCCAATCTTGCACGTAGAGTGGAGAACTGGAGATTCGCAGCCCCAGCACCATTGCAGACGATAAAAGAAAAATTTCCGATTGAAAATATCAGTTTGGATATTATCGGGTCGTTGTGTGGAACTATTCGAGGTAACGTAGATATCGTGGTGATCGTCGGCTGTTTCACCAAGTGGCGCTGGACTATACCCGAAATGTGGTACCTGAACAGTGGCCCAAACGCTGCTGACCGAATGGGTCACTCGCTGGGGAGCACCCTATCGGCGACATGCTAACCAAGGGTGTTGCTCCGAAATTACCTTGTCCAACGAGCTGTCC